GCATGATTGACTAAAGGATTGGCTTTCCTGGAACTCAATCTCCAGGCCCCTTCTCCCTCCCTGGAGATCTTGGCTGATATGTGACCCAAAGACCAACCAACCATCTAATCATAAGGTCGGTCCTACGATAACCAGAGGCCAGTCTCCAGGTTTAATCATCTCGTTAGCATAAACTAAAGTACTGTTCTCAAGAGCCTACCATATAGAAAAATGTTCCTATCACTCAGGAAATTCTGACAATTTGAAGTCCCCTTCCACCAGAAAATGGTGACAAAGACCACTTAAATTCTTTATGATTCAGCCCTCTTTTATAAAAAAGAAGAAAAAAACCTTAAAAGAAACCCAGTATGTAAAACAAATCCAAATAAAATTACTCTAAATGAGGAGTCCCATAATCCTGCCACAGAGACACTACATCCCTCTGAAGACCAAGAAGATTGAGTGAGTCATACTTAACAGTATCTTTCATTCTAACATTTACTTCATTTTTGAAAAGCAAAGCAAGTCATTTACTTGATCTGGTAGTGCATTTGAATAATTGATGCATCATTCTTACTGACTGAAAGCCAAGCAGCCTTTTTTAAAATGTATAGTTCATTTTTTTAAAGTACACACATAAAGCTTAAAATCTATCTCACCTTACTTAAAAATATAATAACCAAGTTTATTTAAACTTATTTAAAAAGCTTATAGATCAGGTGCTATCCCTAAGATACTAAGGATAGAAATAAAAAGTTCTCATCCTTTGGGAGTCTATATCACACACAGGAGTCAATCAATCAGCCAATCAATGTCAGGTAGTTGAGTACTATAAAGAAAAGCAAAATGGAACAGGGCAACAAAATGAGAGGACAGAGGTAGATATTTCTCACAAAAGCTAATTAGGGGAAAGACTCTGAAACTAATTTGAACAGTCTTATATGATGTGATGGACATCAAGACATTCAAATAACTAAGGTAAGACTATTCCAGGCAAAGAAAACAGCACAATACAGATAAAAAGGGAGGAATAAGCCTAAGAGTATTTAGATTCAAGAAGCTTAGAGTGATAGTATCTAGAGATCATCATCACATCAGACACAAGGGGTTAGATTGTGGGTCACTTTAATATAGTTTCTCTGCCCTGTAAGTGAGATGGGAAGCTCGAAGGGTTTGTAGCAGGTAAGTAGCATTATCTAAGGTTTTGCAAAGATCACTGACCTTTGTAGATGAGAACTAATTGTAAGGGGCAATCAGATGCATATTAGAAGGCTCTTGGCATAGTCTATGAAAGAGACAAGATGACTGGCCAAAGATAATTAATAATGAAATTTTGGACATATTTTCAAGGTAGAGCCAAAAATTCTTGCAGATATAATAAAGGTGGCACAAAGAAAAAAAGAAAAAGAAAAAAGAAAAGAAAAGAAAAAAAGGAATGGATATAGAGTATGAAAGAAAAAGATAATCAATGGTGACTCCTGGATAGGAAATAGTGTGAAATGGGGGCAATGTGAAATGAAGCAGACCACCCAAGGCCTAAGCTTGAGTTAGCTCAGGAGGACAAGTTAGGGCTGTGGGAAAATTCCAGGCCAAAACAATAGAGGCCAGGTTCCCATCAAAAATAAGATGTATGTACCCTTTGTACCTGAAACATGGGATGTGGTGAAGCGCTCCACTGTTTGCAACAGCAGAGTATGGCTTCTGTAACCCGCTTGCTATGGTAACTGTAAACTCACAGGTGCAGTTTTTGGTTTTAAAAACCCTTATCACCCCTTGCTCGCGGCTGCTCCCTACAAGAGGGACAGTCACCAGCCCGCTAATAGAGGCTTTGTTTAAATTTGATTTAGACTCGGGTCTGTGTCTAGGGGGAGACTCTACAACAATAGTAATGGTGCCATCAATTAATATAAGCAAGATGAGAGAATGAGTAGGTGGGGAAAGAAACTAAGAAATTATCTCTGGATCCCATGATAAAGATAACAAAAGAGGTATAAAGTATATAAACAAATAGCCCAATCACAAAGTTGGTAAGCAGCTAACCTGGGAATGCAAACCAGGCTGTGTAGCTCCAAGCTGAGCAAACTAATTTGCCTCTTAATACTGTGAGAAGACAATGGTGAAGAAGAGGCTTTAGTACTTAGCAACAGTTAAGTTCAACATCTGGAAATAACAAAAAGAGGGAAGTCAAAAAGACTTAAAGAGCTAAGCAGAAAACTAGAAAAAGTTTGGGAATCTTGGAAACCAAATGAATAAAGTATACTAAAATGGAATGCTAAGAAAACAAAGAAATGACGTAAGATTTGACCATAATATTTGGCAAGAATGGAAGTCACTAGGGACTTTGAAATAACAGCTTGATGGAATAAGTTATCTTTACAATTCAAGAGCTGAACTTGACAAGAAAATGAATATCCAAAATGAGATTCATCCACTTAATAAATGTTTACTGAATGTTTACTAGTTCCATCAGACAATGGTCTATATGCTAGGGATATAGCAGGGAATGAGTCAAATGAAAATCCCTTTCTTCATGGATAGAAGTGAAAAGATAGCACCAACATTCTGCCTCTTTAAATGAAATGTTATACTGCACAAATCATTTGTCAATTTCTGATTCACAGTTTCAGTATAAACATAAAGCTGAAAACAATTTTGGAAAAAGTACAAAAGCATATACATGTTAAGTGATGAATTATATCAAATAAATTAGTGGGAATACTTTAAAATCAGACATACTCATGGACAGAGTGAGAAGGAATACATACTATATACTCTGTATCCTATACAATAAAAAATTTGCCAGGAGAATCTATTCTACTCTATTCCAGGATTATTTACTGGGAATCTGAGAGGTCTTAGATAATCTTTCACGATATTTTGATAACTGGTTCATAAGGAAAGAATTGATCCAGATACCAAACATTAATCAACATTTATTGGCAACTATCATGTAGCAACAAATGAAATAATTAAGGACCATAATACAGGATATAATTATCTTCAATACTAATTTAGTTAAAAACAAAAAATCTTACAGGAGTTTGGAAAAAGAGTGGAGGGTATGATAGAAAGAAGGTGCTCAATTAAGGTGCTATTTTGTCCCCCAGGAGATGTTTAGCAATGCCTGTAAACTTTCTAAATTGTATCTGGGAGCTGGGTAGTGGAGAGGATGTGCCACTGACATCTAGTAAACATAGGCCAGGGATGCTATTAAACACACTACATTGTAAATGGATTAAACTCTAGATCAAAGACATTTATATGGTCCAAATAGTCAACAGCATCATTACTGATAAACTCTAGGCTGAAGCAATCTGGAAATGATTTGGCTATAATGAGTTTCAATTTTGAACTGACCTCCAAGCATGAGGACATGCAGAAAGGTAAAAAAACTAACAGAAGCAAAAGCATAAGAGCAAGGAGTCTGTGCTTAAAACTGAGTGGTGGAAGTACTGAGAAAGGATTTAACATTAAGAAATCTACCTGAATGCAATGGAAATGTTTACACAAATTGTCAATAGGATTTAAATGTGACTGGATAGCTGCTATCTAGGTCATCTATATGGTCAAAAAATAAGACAAAGGTGCTAGAAACTGAATAACCAGGTATTCAGAAGTCATCTTATTTGAAGTATTTGCCCTAGAAATTAATGTATTAAACTGCTTGACAGCAGTAACCATGTCTTGTTCATCACTCTCCTCTTTTAAGCCTCTAAGCAGTGTCCTGTATAGTGTATGCTGAGTGCTTATTAAATTAAATGCAATTTTACAATTAATTATTAAGTATTATTGGAGAGCTCTAACGTTCCATCCCCTGCTATTTTCAGGATATTCATTTAAATTGGAAAACAACAAGAAACTATCACTTAATATTCATTAGTAGGTACTACATTAAAGCACTGTAATTGGTCTTCTACACATATTTTATTTAATTGCAACAGAATGTATTTTTCCTTTTCTAAAGGAATAGGAGAGTGGGACTCAACAGAGTGTAAGAAACTTACCCATAATTTCACTCTGAGCTAAGAAGCCACAGAGATACAGAACTGAACCCTTTCCTACTCTAAGTTTTGATGATGTGCTGTAAGGAAGAGTTAAAAAATCAAAATTCAGCACCCACCCTTCACAATAAAAACATGCAAGGACATAAAGCAGTTCCACAAAGTTGCCCTAGTTCCTTACCACAGCAAATTTTGTCTTAAAGAACTTGTGCATGGTAGTTCCAATGTGTCAGGGCAATTCCTAAGTGCATTCAAATCATCCCAATCTTCCTAGGAACCCAAACCCCTGTAATTATTACCCTTAGAAACCTTCCTGGTGAATACACACAAAAAAGCTAACCTGTCCACTTGGTTTCGTCAGTGCATAAAAGCAATGAGTCAGAAAAAAAACAGCATTTCAAACTCAAAACCAGTTCAGATTCCAGGTGCCTGTCAACACTTAAAAAGTGCAGACTTAGCCGAAGAAAGGCAAGGCAGTGGTTCGAGTCATAACTCCGTTTCAGTTTTTGCCAAGTATTCCATTTTTCATCTCTCCCAACATTTTTTCAGTCTATTCTTTGCCAGAAACTATCCCCATTAGAGTTACAATAAAAAAAAAAATTTAAATCCTCCAAGGACTCTAACCTGAAACATTCTGCTTGTTCCAAAGGGTAAGCATTTTGTCCAGAGAAACACTTCCAGGCTTACAAGTCTACCCTAGCCGAGGTACCCCTGAGCCCGCAGTTCTGTCCCAACACCAGATGCCACACCAGCTGCTCCTCCGAGGCCTGCACATCCCCCTTTAAGGAGTTCTGTCCAAACCCACAGGACTAGCTCAAGGCCCATCTCGCAGGCTGTGGGTCCCAAATCTCTCAACGAGGATGCGCCAAGCCCCCCAACAACCTCCAAACTCTGAAAGAAGGGGCCTCAGAGAAAGGGGCGAGGATGGTCTGAGCCCGGCGGTCCAGGCTGCGCGCGGAGAAGGGGCAGAGTGGGCTTGCCACGAGCGGGGGGTGGCCCGAGAGCCGCCAAAGCACTTACCCACATCCTGATCGAAGGGATTAGTAGCAAAGAGAGGCATCTCCACTGCGTGCCGAGGTGTCCGCAGGGACTCCCCCTCGACACCACGGGATTCAGGGTGCGACGCAAGAAGAAAGACTCCTCAGGCAAAAACAGCTACAGACTCGGACCCTACAGGGTCCGCCGCAGCTCCTCCTCTCACCGACCCCCAGCAACCAGGGCAGCGGCGGCGGCAACAACGAAGGAGCAGAAAAAGGCCCCCGCGCGGTGCCTGTCGGGAACAGGGGCGCCCTCGGCGCTGCCTGCTCAGAACCTACACAGAATCTGCCCCGCCAAAGCAGATCCGAACAAGACGCCCCCTCCGCCGGACCCCGCTTTTGATAGTTCACACTGGAGAGTCAGAGTAGTGCCTGTGTTTTTGGCTTTTGCCTTAGACAGGCGTCTCCGGAAGACGGGGTCCTTCAGGCGTGCCCAAGCCATCTAGAGACCCCAGGCGTGAATCAGATGGGGAGAAAGGAAAGGGGTCGCGTCTGAGTCAGTTGTCATAACTTTGTATCCTTTTCAGAGGAGAATGGGAGCTCCGTTTGGGGTCGTCTAAATAAAAAGTCAATGAGTCCAGTTCGCTGTCTGAGGTGACAGAGAACTTGCTTGGATGCAGTCATGTGAGCTGCAGGGATTGGCTTGAGTCCGTAAAGGGGAGTATCGGGGTGCGCTGCTCCCTCGGCGAGGCTGAGGTAACGCTGGCACCTTCCCCAGAGTCCCTGAGCGCCCGGCTTGAGCATCTCTGTGGGGAGCTCATCAAGTTGGGCGTTGGCACTTATTGAGTGACTAACTTTGCAGTTACTCAGCAGCTGTGATGATTAAAAAAGTGAGTTTCACGATCCAAGAATGACTGACAGAACCCTCTCCTTTACCCCCCACCCCCAATGAGGACAAAAAAAAGAAAAAATGAACTAGAAATTAGCTAGTGGTTCCAAACAACTTAAAATATTTACTTAAGAATTTTATTTTTATACATTTAAAACAAAAATATTCCCCTGTGTCATGTAGAATTTAAGGAGCCGCTTGCGTCCCACTTGGAACCAACTTAGTAAAAGGATCTTGCACGTAATTTGAAATTGTCATCTATACCCAAATGAAGGCACTTCTAAATTGATATGTAAACAAATATTTACAACATGTTAACAATGTGGTTAATACCATGGTATACCAAGAGTACTTGCAAAAATGCATTAAAAATGAAGTTCCATTTCTAAAAGTGAGAACGCAAATTAATGTAGCATTTAGATAAATTTTGGTGATCCAGACAGATTAAAAGAAGCAGGGATGTGAAAAATCGCTCACTCACACTGTTGAATGAATCATAGATTAATATGGTCTCTAAAGAAAGTACTTGGATGTAATAACAATGTGAATACCTTTGGACCCTGCAATCCTTTTTGGAATGTATTCTAAAGACATTCTTTGATGCCGCAAAAAGAAAATTTTCATGACAACATTATAACCAGAGCACTGATAGCCACTGAAGTGTCCAACATTGAGACTGAACAAGTTATTTGCCTCATGGTGCCTTAGTTTCCTCATCTGTAAGGAATAGGAATAACAAGACTAATAGGATTGTGAGGATCAAATGGATTAGTACAATTGAAATCCTCAAGTGCCTAGCACCTAAGTATGCATTAAATTAAGTGTAGAAATCATAATTGTATTGGTCAAGTAGTTTATATAACAGTACACACAAGCAGAAATTCCACAGCTCTTAAAGGTGATAATATGTATTTATAGAAAGACATCTAAGTACACAGGTTTTTAAAAGCAGGTTACAAAGCCATGTAAGATTACAAAATACCCTAAATCTCAAGTATCTGAAAAGAAACACTTAAGAATATTATGACATGATTTTCCCTGAGTGGTAAGATTTGGGAAAAATTTTTGTTCTTTAAGTATTTTATTTTATTCCCAAATATTTTCATGGTGAGCGTATATTTCTTTCACAGTGGAAAAAAAGTTAAAACACAACGTAAAAAAGATGGGGTACGTAAGTAAGTACCACTGATTTTTTTTTTTAAAGATTTATTTATTTATTTATACAAGCACTGGGTACAGTCAGAAGCTCGGGAGGGTGAGAGAATTCACCAGAGCCAGAGCGGGGAACAGAATAGAGAGAAGGACCGACCGAAGCACACTGCTGAGGGGAGCAGCGGGTGGCAGGAGAGGTCTGCGCCCCATGTGGGACCTTCCTCTGGTGGCCGGGGAGCAGCCGGGGATTGAACTGGCGCTGCAGAGGCTGCGGGCAGCTTCGCAACCCAGCGCTCAACCGCTGCGCCACCGGGGAGGTCCAGTACCACTGATTTTTAACATCAAAAGCATACTTGTGTTTCACTATGACAAGTACACAGTTTTTCCAAAACAATATTGGTAAGTGAAGTGGAACATTCTGAAAAAACTTGTTGATTACTGGGATGATAGAATCAAGTAACAACTTGTCCATCTTATGTTCCTGAAGTGTCTGGAGCACATTCTCACAAGTGCTCTGTATCAGCCAATACTTAGGAGAATGCACTGTATTGCTTTGTGCTTTAGAAATAAGACAGTTGTTCTATTGCCAGCAATAAACTAGTCATCAAAGTGCTGAGGCCATGATCTTCAATATGTGATTAATGGTAATAGGTAAGAAATAATAGCTGTTAGTCTTGAGAGTATCATCCATGTATTCTGATCTAGAAGAATGACTTTTGCTATTTAGAGATTTTATGATAATCTGCTATAAATAATAAAAATGTTTAAAATTTAAAATTTTAATGTTTAATATAAAAAACATAAAAAGTGAAATAAGTTTATATTTGAATTTAGCTTTCCATTACTATCCCTTAAAACATTTAAAACTGCAGGAGTTTCAGTGTTAGTATTGCCACAATCTTTTTAAACATTATAGAGGCTATCATTTCACATTAAAATGTTTCTGTAATATTATGTTTACTAAGTTCAATGGTTAATTTTAAATTTCGGTTTGATTTTGAAAATTCTTATACATTAAAAAAAGAGAGAACAGCAACATGCAAATGAAATTAGGGAAAAAAATCTATTTTCTTGAAGTTAGAGAAAAAGAATATTCTAGGAAGGTTAGTAATACTACTTTAGTTCGCACTCTCATCATCTTTAGAAATATTATATTTACCTCCTATGTTTTTCTCCCTTCCTATTGTTATGGACTGAATATATTACATCTTGAAAAAACAATTTTAAGACCCTAGGAATAAATAACTTGCGAACAGACTTTTAAAACCATCCCTCTTACACACAATGTAAGCTAGAGTGACGCAAAAGGTAAGATGACTCTACACCTGAGGCTGTGCACTTGCATGTCAAGCAATAGCTGAGTCATTGGAGATGTCAGCCAAAAAAACAACTTGGGCTGTTCTATGTATCTGCTTGGTCCCTTACAGCATATTAGATTCAACATTACAAGAGACAGGCAGACAGAAACTGCCAATATTTTAAAGCCTGAACTAAGATATGGGAACACCATCATTTCAGTCATATTCTATTTGACAAGCAGTTCCAGCTTCTACACTCAAGAGGAGAGGAAGTAAAAACCAAATCTTGAAAGAGGAGTGTTAAACAATTAGGGACCATGTCTGAAAGCCATCACAGTATTATAACATATTACTTGTTTGTATAGCTTTTGCATGTTACTCATTTTTCTGTATTTTCAGGTCATACACAGTGGGTATTCCATAAATGTTTGTTAAATGTAGCAAAGAAATACACTGTGACTTTCATTACAATCATGAGGGAGCAACAAGATCTACACTTGTCTTTTCACCATAACCAAGTAGAACACAGGACAAAATGTATGGAAATAATTGGTTTCAAAAATAGGAAAACAGCATTAAACTGTAATAGCAATACCGTGCCTTATAATCAACATGGTTGTCAGCCTGGAGTCCGCTTTCTGGACACACAGGAAAGAACCCCAAAAAAGATCCAAAAGTTCTTACTACATTTGGGAATCTAAAGGACTATAATTTGGAGCACAGAGTACCAAGAGAGTGCTGTGCAGAGAAAGAATTTCAGAAATTTGTACAAGAATTCCCTTGAAACTTTGACTGAATGAGTAAGATAAATCTCTACAAATCTGGGTAAAGAACTTTCAGGGAAAGAGTTACTGCTAGCAAATCAAGATTTGAAAAAATCCTAAGAAATCATACAAGCTCAGTTATCATTTAAGTTCTGAAAAGCCAGAGGGAAGATATTTAATTGAATGCACTAGGTATTTGTAAATACCCACAAAATGAAATGTTTTAGTGGTAGAGAACAGAGATCATCTCCAAAAAAAGTTTAAAAAATATCTTGAAAGGATTAAGATGAGAAATGTAACTTAAAGGAAAGGCAGAACAAAGCATGGACTTTGAAATGAATGCTCTCTGTGCAAATAAATACTCTCAAAAATATAATTTATACAGTGACTAGACTATATTAAAAATTAGTGAACACATGAAGAAGTAAGGAAATATGTCCAGTAACCAGTAGGATAAACAGTCTATAGAAACAAACTGGAAGTTATAGAAATGGTTGAAATAACACATAAATGTATTAAAAGGTAATATAACTTTGGTCAGTATGCTCAAGGATTTATAAAAAGATGAAAGTAGGAGAAAAATATATATCAAAAGTATATGGAAAAAGAAAAACAAAGGGATATAAATATACAATAGCAGAAATAAATGAGCTTTTTCAAAAATTCAAAGAATTGAAAAGAAGGAAATAAAAGAGGACAAAAAAATAGAACAGATTGGACAGGCAGTATAGTGATATTTTTATTCAACCATATTAAAAGGTACATTAAATACAAAAGGTCTAAACATTCCAATGAAAAGGCAGAGATGGATTTTTTAAAGCAAGACCCAACTATATGATGTGTATGAAAAACATCTTAAAGATACTGAGAAAGATAGGTTAAATAAATGGATTGAAAAAATATACATAAAGCATTAATCTAAACAAAACTGCTGGTTATGTTAATATAAGACAAAATACAAAACAAGGAAACTTCCCAGGAATAATGAATGGCATTTCATCATGATAAAGGAATCATTTCACCAAGACAAAACAAGATTAAATTTGTATCTACCTAATAATAGAGGTTGAAAATAGGAAAGAGATATATATTACATAGAATATAGAGATCCATAATATTTGTTGCCTCTGCAACATGGTGAGATAAAAAATAGATCAAATAGAAAATCAGTAATTACACAGAAGACTCAAAAATACTATCAAACAACTTGACCTACTTGACATTTATGAAGGTTCACCCTAACACTGCACAATAAATGTTCTTGTTAAGTGGACACACAACTTTAGCAAAGATAAACAAAATGTTAGGTCTTAACTCAATATAATTTAAAGGATAAAATTAGATTTTTTTCTTGACTAAAACATCTTAAAAATATAACAGGATACTGCTAACCAATAGCAGAAAAATATATGGAAAATTCCAACATATGTATAGATTAAACAATATAATTCTAAATAAACTATATGTCTAAGAAAAATTAGAAAATATTTTGAAGTGGGTGAAAGCAAAAACAATCAGAATTTGTGAGATGCAATTAAAGTGATGCTTTGATGAACAAGGTGTTAGAAAAGAAAGATGTTTAAGGTGTTAGAAAAGAAAGATCTAACATCAATGAGCTAAACTTCTACCTTAAAAAGAGAAAAAAATTAAAATAGTAAAAAAGGAAATAATAAAGATAAGGTCATAGGAAATGAAATAAAACAATTTACTCTATCAAGAATAGCAGTAGCAATGTGATTTCAGATACATTAATTAAAACATTACAGGAATTTAAAAATTTATCATTTAATGCTGTTTTTTAAATTTTTGTCAATAAATTTGACAACATAGGTGAAATGAAAAAACATATATCAAAGATACAAATGACCATATGATCCAGAAGAAACAGAAAACCTTATAGGATATATATCAATAACAGATACTAAATTATTAGTAAAAAATATCCCATAAAATTTTTCAGGACCATTAACTCAATAGTTAAATCTACCAAACATATAGGAAGGAATAATACAAAATTTATACAACATTTTTTAGAAAATACATTGTGGAGGAACAATTTCCTATTCATTTTATGAGAACAACATTACCCTGATACCAGTATCAAACAAAACATTATGAGAATACTTCAGACAATATCCGTTTTAACATAAGTATTATAGTCCTTTAAAAATAGAAATTTAAATATAGCAGTACATTTTTTAAAAAAATACATTAAGACCATGTGGAGTTCATCCCAGTAATATAATTATTTTATTATTTAAAAATCAACACAGTTCACCATATTAATAGAATACAAGAGAAAAACCATATGAAAATCTCAGTAGGTACAGAAAATCATTTTACAAAACTCAAAAGCCTTTGTGACCAAAAAAACTCAACCTTCCCAAACTAAGACTAGAAGAGACTTTTTTTTTTCAACCTGACTTAGGAGTATCTTAAAAAAAAACTTAGAGATACCATCTTCCTCAAAGGTAAATGAAGATGGTATAATGCAGAATGCCCATTTTCACACTGCTATTCAATATTATAATGGTTGACTTAGACAATACTAAAATCAAGAGAACAATTAAAGGAGTATAGGCTTTTGGATTTTAACTTTGGTCAAGATGGTATAACAGATGTATTTATCCTCTCGTCTTAAGCAACTGAAAAACTGGACAAAATATATGAACAACAATTCTTAAGATACTGGCTATTAGGTAACAAAGGACAGTGATCCTTGAAAGATGAGGCAAAAAAGAAGTGAGCCTTATCACAGTTCTATCTTTCTGTCTGGATAGAATTTCCAGGCATGGCACAGAGAGTTGGTCTCTTTGAGATGAAGAAAGAGAGCTAAGAATCCAAGAGGCCAAGGTCATTAAAGTTTACAGAATACTGGGGGCATAGTAGAATACAAAAATATCCATCACCCAAGAAGAATATATACAGTTTCTGAGATGAAACATTATTAGGCAATCTATAAGTAATATCATAAATATCAGAATATGTCATAGTGTATGGAGATGAACCATGCAATGGTTAACTAATGGTTCATTAGTTAACACTAATGAAAACTGAAATTCTTATATTACTATCAAACAATGTAGGTTTCAGTTTAAAGTATATTATCAGAGACACAAATGTCACTTCATCATGAAAAAGCAGTCAAATAAGAGAACATGACAAATCTAGACGATTTTGATTATAAAAACAGATTTTCAAGGGACATTAAACAAAAACTGATGGAACTTCAAGGAAACATAGATAACAAATATATTTGGAGATTTCAACTCCCCTGTCTTACTGGTGATAAAACAAGCAGAAAAAGAACAAGGCTGTCGAAGGCTTGATTAATACTATCAACCAACTTGACTTAATTAAAATTGATATAACACTACCTCCAATGAAACCTGAATTTGCATTATTTGAAGTATACATGACATTTATCAAGATAGGTTATATTCTAGACCATAAACCAAATTTTTTTTTTTTAAAGATTTATTTATTTTATTTATACAAGCACTGGGTACAGTCGAAGCGCGGGAGGGTGAGAAAATTCACCAGAGCCAGAGCGGGGAGCAGAGCAGGCAGAAGGACCGAAGCACACTGCTGAGGGGAGCAGTGGGCGGCAGGAGAGGTCTGCGAGCCACGTGGGACCCTCCCCTGGTGGCCCAGGAGCAGCCGGGGATTGAACCTGCGCTGCAGAGGCTGCGGGCAGCTTCGCAACCCAGCGCTCAACCGCTGTGCCACCAGGGAGGCCCCGTAAACCAAATATTAATAATTATAAGAGGATTAAAGTCAAACTAAGTATGTTTTCTGACTTCAATGGAATTGAATTAAAAGTAAATAACAGGAGGCTATTTGAAAGTTCTCAAATATTTGGAAACTAAAGAACACACTTCTAGTCACACAAAGGAGGAATAAAAATGGATATTAGAAAATATGTTGAGTGGAATGCTAATGATAACAGCATGTCCAAATGTGTTATAAGCTGTTAAAGAAGTATTTATGCTGATATTGATAGTATAGCACATATGGCAGAAAAGAAGACCAGTCTCAAGTTAACGATGTTAAATTTCGCTTTGAGGACAGAGAAACAATAGCAACTGAAACCCATAGTAAGCAGGAAAAAAGGCAATAATGAACATCAGAGAAGAAAACAATTAGAAAGAATACAGAAAAAAATTATTTCACAGTAGTGATAGTGCACTCATGCTGTTGAAATAAGGCTTAGTCATGATTTATCACTACATCCTAAAAAAAAAAAAAAATACATTGCAGCTCACTGGTGTCATTAATCATCACTTAATACTATCCTTAACCCTACCTGATTTCAAAATCTATGATGAAGCTGGGGTTATCAAAACAGGATGACACTGGTATAAAGTAGACAAGTAGATCAATGGAAAGGAATAGACATTATAGAAATACTTCATTATATATATGGACAGCTGATTTTTGACAATTTTACAAAGGAAATTCAGTGCAGAAAGGATAGACTTTCAGCAAATTATATGTAACATTTGGGTCTCTATAAGCAAAGACACAAACTTCATATAGACCTGAATGTAGACCCTCAAATGAAGACAAAACTTTTATGACCTTGAGTTAGGCAAGAATTCTTAGATAAAACACCAAAAACAGAATTATCAAAGAAGACAAATTGATAAATAGAACTTTCATCAAAATTAAGACTTCATGCTCTTTGAAAGATGCTATTAAGAGAATGAAAAGCAACCCATAAACCAAGAGAAAATATCTTTCAATCACGTATCTGATAAAAGATTTGTGTCCAGATTTATAAAGTACTCTCAAAACTTTGTAATAAGAGTACAATCAGACCACTAAGAAATGGGTACTGATTTGAACAGTCTCTGAAGCAAAGAAAATGTACAATTGGGAAATAAGCACATGAAAGGTAACTCAGCATTAGAAAACAAGTCTTAAGTCCATATGGAAATGTACATGAAACTACAATGAGATAGCACAACAAGCCAATTAGAGTATATGAAATTCAAACCAAGGGTTGGTCAGGATGTGAAACAACTGAAACTCCTATACATAGGTTGTGAGAATGTAAAATGGTTGAACCACTTTGTGAAACATTTTAGCATTTTTTTAAAAAAGCTAGAAGTGTAACTACTACATGGTCTAATGTTCCACCCCTAAGTATTTACCTATGAGAAATGAAAGCATAGCTCAGTACAAAGATTTGTCAAAAAATGTTCACACGTTATTTATTTTTCACTGCAAAACCCCCAAATATCTAAACATGAACAGATAAATTGTAAATACATACAATGGAACACTGCTCAGTAATAAAATAGCATAAATTACTAATATATACTTTACATGATGAGTCTCTAATTCAGGACCAGCTACATAACTTATAGGACAGTACAAAATGAAAATATGGGCTCCCTTTTTTATAAATCATTAAGAATTTCAAAACATTGACAGTAGAACATTAAAGCAAGTGAGGGATACTTAGGATCTCGTGGGGAAATACCTGTCACATACCCAGGAAGCTGATCCTGCTCAAAATAATTATCCTGAGCGAATTAATCCAAGAAAAAACAAGTATAATAATGTGTGTTTTAATTTATATAAAATTATTGAAAACAAAGTAATCTGTAGTGATGGAAAGCTGATCAGTGATTACCTGGAGACAACCTCAAGACAAAGGGAAGTAGGGCAGGATAGGAGGAATTTTAAAAAGGAGGATAGGTGAAACTTTTAGGGATAATGGATATGTTCACTCTCTTGATTAGGGTGATAATTTCACAGAGGATACATGTCAAAATTTATTAAACTGTACATTTTAAATGCACTTTACTGGCTATCCATTATATATCGGTAATGCTATTAAATTTGTAAAACACTAATTGACTTTGGAGAAGTAACTCTAAAAATGTAGTTCATGATTTCTGATATGCATTTACTCCTTACAGACATAACAAAAAGTTAAGTAAAAGCAGAAGATAATATACAATTAATTGCTGAAATGGATGACACATTTTCAGTACAAACTATTGGAACCGGGAAGGAAACGAGGACCGAACATGAAGTATTCAAGGAAAGCCACTTGAAAGAACTGGTATTAAATGTGTCCTTGACAAGTAAATGAGATTTAAGCAAATAAGAAAGAATGGAAAATAGCAGTTAGCAGTTTAGTGAGGTGCAAGGAATGGAGATTGGATCAAATCAGTATATGGACTATCCTGATCAGTATATGGACAATGAGCAGAACTGTTTGACTGGATCGGAGGATTTTGGTGACAGATATTTACTAAGAGACATTTGATCAGCTTTCCTGAGCTCACATTATAATAGAGAGTTCTGAGAATTGATGCTAAGTATCAATTTTTAACTTAAACAAGTGCAAATGCTTAGAGAAAATAATGAGTTCTTTCAGAAGTCAGACAAGGTTATATGTAAAATGCTATTCCAAAGCGTCTTTGCTTTCAGGATACCTCAAGCTTAATTAGGTGACCTGCCTCAAGTTTATTTTGCCTATCTCAAAATATATCCATTTCCATTTCTTTTATTCTTGCCTGAGAAAGAAGCATCTCCTTATTTTCTGAAACATAATTCCTCCATTTATCTCCTTAATTCCTTATTCTCTCACAACCAGATACTGCTTCATAGAGAGTCTGTATCACATAGGCAACCAATCTCTCCCTATCTTATGGTCCCTTCCTTTGGCAAATAGACAATTTTGTTTCTATTGTGTCTCAGTGTATTTACTTATTCATCCCCCTCTTTATGCTGAAACTGACTGCCAATTTAGTGCTGGCCTTTATTACTTTTCTCCTAGATCACAAGTTATCTGATTTCCTGTGTCCCCTCATGCCAATTTATTCAATACACTGCTGCCAAATTAACCTTTGAAAGAAGTTTCTTTAATATGATTTTCCTGCTCACAAATGTCCAGAAGCTTATTACTGCTTTTTAAAATATATTAGTTCTCAATATACTTCAATTCTCTCTCCCTCCTAATATTTTCATGATTTAGTCAAACTATACAATTCACTTTTTTTCATGCTTTTTTGCTTTCCCTGCCCTCAAGTTCACTGTGAGCCCTTAACTTGCAAAATCCTCTTACAGTCTGTCTGTAGGAGTCATACTCATTCTTCAAATATTCAAAAGTGATCTCTAAAGCACGATCAGCTTCTTGACGACAGGCCTCATTTTTCATCAATGTTGCTATCATCAGTTTGTACACAGTACATCGTAAATATTCACTTTTTTACAGAAACAGTTTTACAAGTCTGTTGGCAAGTCATTTCTTCTCAGGGCATTTAAAGATGTCCCTCCTGTCTCCTTCTCCTATTTGGAATGTTTTCCTCAGAGTTATCTAAGTTGCCCTGAGCAGTTATCTAAGTTGCCCTGCGCTTAGAACCAGGACCCCAACCCCTTTGGTGAGTTATCTGACCTCCTCTGCTTGGGGATGACTCGGTATCCTCAGAAGGGTACACAATGAGGTCTGTGAGGTGCTGGGTGGTATTTCCTGCCAAAACCAGAAAACCCTTGGCCTGCCCAAAATTTCTGTGGATCAAGGGATTTCCGTATCACCACAATGGTGCTAACCTGCTGATTTTGAGTAACTCAAACTATTTCAGGCCTGCGTTTTACAGGGACTGTTTCATTAGCTCTCACAACAACCCTACGGGTTAAGTTTTTAAATTATTCCCATTGAGGAAACTGGGACACAGAGAAGTTTGTTGCCCAAATTTGCACAGCGGGGGCGCCAGGAATTTGGAGTTTGAATTAATGTGACCCCAGAACCTGCCTTCTTAACTGTGTGGCTTCAGATGGAAGAGCTATTAGGTGAAAGCTTAAGTATTCGAAGGCACACGGGGAAAAGGAAAGTGACAGAGGGGAGAACAGATGGGAAAGAATTCTTGTTAGCCTGTAAGGTGCCTATATGAGTTCAAATGTTCCACCTTTGGTATTGTTATAGAGCAGCCCCGATATTGAACGGGTTCCTGGCTGTGGGTCCTCACCCATGAGCTTAAAAGGGACTTATTAATACTCCACTACAGGCACACAAAAAAGGTTAATAAAAGGTTTATTTACAAGGGAAAAGGAAATAGGGAAAATAGGGAAATAAAGTCTTTAATGCGTCCTACCCGATCCGACGACCTGGAAATCCAAAGTCACTCTCAGAGCTGGCCAGACCCTGCGAGCTGGTGGAGAGCCAAAATGGGGGACCCCCCCAAAGCCCACGTGTCTGCCTTTTATATCAACCTGGCTGCTTAACCCCACCCTCAGATCCCAGCTACCTTCCCTTTGGTGGGGATGGGATTTGGAGTTCCCAGTGTCTTTGGCTTTGGCCTGGGGTGGGGGTGGAGTCCACAAAGCCTGTATGGAATTAGCTTTAGGACATCCTTTTCCCCCAACAGTATCTTGTCACGTCCTTTTCCCTCTAGCTGCACTTGAACATTAGCTTTCTGTCTTGCATTGAAATCAATGCCCTTAGAACACCTGCTCCAGAGAAATCCGCACAAGTGGGCCAATCCTATTAGCCCCCATGCATACCCTACAGGTCGCTGAACGTGGGAAGGGGAAGATGATGTATGCTTCTTTCCCAGAAACTCTTTTTCAAAAATGTATTTTATTTTATATAATTCTTACATCATTTTTCATTTTTGCACAATGTATGCATTCTCATTTTGGTTACATTCCCCATACAGTTCCCACCCCCCCTTATTTTGACCCTAATCCCTCCTCTTGCCCAACACCCCCGCCCCCATGTCTCTGGTTTATAGTTGCTTGTTGATTTTGATTTTTTTTTTATCATAATTAGTCTTTTTCCTGGCCCCTTTTTTAGGTTTTCTAAATTCCTGCTATGAGTGAGACCATCCAGTATTTTTCTTTTTCTTTCTGGCTTATTTCACGGAGCATGATCCATTATTTACCCAAAGGACACAGAAACATTAATTCAAAAGGGCACCTGCACCCCTATGTTTATAGCAGCACTATGCCCCAAAATAGATGCCCCAAATGCCCCAAAATAGATGACTGGACCAAGAAGATTCGGTACATATACACAATGGAATATTACTCAGCAATCAAAAAAGAAAAACTCATGCAATGTCCCGGCAACTCTTAATGAGCCTTTGGCTGAAAGATCCCACTAGCTGTCTTCACACCAGAAACACCCTCAAAAAGACAGGGCGCCACAGGGCCACACCCAAGCTCAGGTGTGCTCCGTCTGTCCGTCTGTCCCATTAAATGCATAGCAAGGTGCAGGCTGCCAGGGTGCAAACACATCTTCCGCGACTCTCCAAGACGAGTTCCCCAGCACGCCCGCAGACCCGTTCTGGTGCTAACCGCTCTTACGCCGCCGCCCTCTGCTCTGACCCGGGGTCTCCCGAGCCCCCCAGAGCCCGCGCGCGCGGAGAGCTGGGGGCAGGTCCCGGACCTGCGCGCTCCCGGGGGCGGGGCTGCGGCCAGGGGCGCCCGCTCCTCCCCCTGCAGACCTCGGGGCGGGCGGCGCCGAACCCCCAGTGCTGCACGTGGGGCGCCTGCCCGAGGCGGCGGCAGCGGGCGGCGGCGCTTCTGCGCGCTGAGCCGGGCCCCTCCACTCCCCTGCCCCTCTCGGCCACCCTCCCCGGGCGCGCGGCCACCATGGCGTCCAGCGAGGAGGACGGCAGCAACGGCGGCTCCTCGGAGGCCGGCGAGGAGAGGGAGGCCACCGGCAAGAGGCGGCGCCTGGGCTTGCTGGCCACCGCCTGGCTCACCTTCTACAACATCGCCATGACCGCGGGGTACGTGCGCCCCGAGCTTCACCGCCCTCCCCAGCTTCGCGCGCCCTCCCCGCGCGGCTGCCCCCAGATACTCCGCGCGCGGGGAGCCCGCCGGGCGCGGGGCTCGGGCCGGCCTCAGGGGAGCCCCGGGGCGGGCGCGCCAGGGTCAGTGAGGGTTGGGCGTTGGGGGTTCGAGGCCCACGGGGGGCGCCGAACGGGACCATGGGGGAGGGGCGCCGCCGCGCCGCCGGGGTTGAATGGATCAGGGCGGGGGGGCCGGGCCCTGCGCCCCGGGCATTGCCTAATACGGTGCACGGCGTGGCTCGGCTGCCCCGGGGCGCGGGCCGGAGGTTAAGTATAGACCCGAGCAGGAATGCGGGGCCTGTGGCCGCTGTTGCAGCGCCGGTGTCCAGCCACCCGGGAGCCGAGCTGTCCCCGCTGGTTTCCTCCGCGGCTGGCCGCTAGAGTGCATTTCCCCCTGCTGTGGATCCCTGGGCTGAGTTCTCTTAACTATTAGTGTGACCGTGATTTTTTTTTTTTTTTTAAGCGACAGTATGCTGGAGACTTGCTTACTTGGGACGACTTTTTTTTTTTTAAAACTCCGCCAAGTCGGAGCATGGTGTAACAGGGTGGTCCCCAGGAAAGGGGGAGGTTGGCACTGGTGTCCAGCCTGTTTCTGACCCCACTGCAGTGTGACTTACAAGTTAAGGTTACACAATGACTATTGGTATCGCTTTTCAAAGAGCTGGCACAGTTACCTCTGTTGCAACTGATTTTCCAAACCTGCTGGAAAGATGCTCTGTTCTAAATTGTATTGTCTTTGAAGAAGTTGTTTTCCCATTATTCATGAAATCATATTCATCAAATAATACTGATAGAAATGTGACAGTTTAATATTTTTAACTTTTCTGGGGCTTACAGAAAAACGTGATCCATAATGATTTAATAACTGATTGGACACAGTGCTGACTACCTGTTACATGCCTAGCATACACCAGATATGGTTCATAGGTAATATAATATCTATTGAGGATTACTTGCCAGGCGCTGTCTTGGTTACCGTAAAGCTACACCCTCATTTTTAGTCCACTATGATCCTCTGAGGGGTACATGATATTACAAGTGACAGAGTAGGAAACTGAGGCACAGGAGTTAAGTAACTGGCTCATGATCACACAACCAGCAAGTGTTAGACTTGGATTTCAGCCCAGGTAGTCTGACTCCAGAAACATCCTACTCCCTTTACCTTTCTGCTTTACTAAATTTTATAATTTTGCAAGAGAAAACTAATACATTCAAAACTACTAGAGGACAATTGAGTGCCTACCATGCCCTGCTACATTTAGATACAGTAGAGGTTGAGACAAACTATTTCCCCTCTGTGATTGTCAAATCCAATTGATAAACATTTTTGGAACACCTGCTGTAATGAACTGATCTGCTGTCCATTCCTTTTCCAGTCCACTGTCCCTAAGGCCAAGTTACCCTTTTAAAAATAAGAGTGCATAACTCCATTTAAAACCTTCCATGATTCCCCAGTACCTCCACTATAGTATAAGAGATTTAGACTGCCTGTCATTCACGGCCCTTTGCAATATGTTCCCTGATTTCTTCTTTCTAGTTTAATTGCTTTTGAAATCTCTCTGACTCAGGATGCCCACAGAGTTGCCCTAAAATTACACCACGCATTTTTATTTTCACAGCTCTCTCCATCTTTGCTCAGGACTGTTCACTCTTTGTGTAGTGTCTACCTCTTTCTCTCATGATTTTTAAGCAAACCAGCCTCTTTGATGTCTTCTAGGTATCCTACCCAATTTCGAACAAAATTAAATGTCCCCTCTTTTGTATTCTTCTATTTCATTCCTTTCTCTAGCCCTCCTCAGCAAATTACTGCCTGCCTGAAACTTTTCTGTCTCCCTGCCTATATTGAGAAGGTCCCTTACCATTTCATCTCTGATTAATGGCATGGGTAACTGCAATGGAGTAATAGTCCATGCAAGTCTTTAAGGGCTTTCTTAAAGAGACATTGAGATTTGAAGAAGGAATAGGATTTGCATATTTAGGAGATCGATATTTTATATGCAAAATTTTAAAAACAGACATGAGATGCAAGACAGCCTGGCACATATAGTCTCTTGATTTAATTTGAGGGTGATGTTGTGGAATAGTAAATAAGGTTGGATACCTTGTGGTATTGAAAGTGGAACACCAATATAAACATTTAATGGAGTGTACAGAAGAGGATTAACTGAGGTTCTTTTGTTCAGCTAACTTGCTTAACACAACCTGGGAGTGTTTATTCATTTTTTTCTAATAGTTTTGAAAATAGTAAAATAATATTTAATAAATAACATTTTTATATAAGTATAAGAAAAACTTTACTAATTCTGTCAGTTTAGGCACAACCTTTCATTTTGTGTTACTGTTTTTGTATGTGTATCTAACCTTCGGGTTTTCATGCTAATTGCCATTCTCAGAGAGGCTTTCTCTGGCTGTCTTTGTTCAGGGAGCCGTCCCCACACAAATGTGCCTTATCCCCCTTGCTTACTTAATTTTTCTCCATTTCATTTATTGCCTTATGACTGTAGAATGGATTTTACTAATTCATCTTGTTTATTGTCTGTTGTCTCCCTGCCAGAATGTAAGCTCTATGAAGCACTCAAATATTTATTGAATGAATTCATATTTAAAACATTGTAGTTATAGTATCTGCTCTATTGTATAGTCTATTTTCATTTAATATTCTATCAGATGTCTCTATAGAGCTTTCATAAATATGCTCTTTGGTCACAAGAGAGTTGATGTACAAATGGATTAAATCATATCCCTAGTGATATTTTGCTTTTATGATTTCTGTTGAATTAGTTGCTTAGGATGAATTCCCAAGAGTAGAATTACACCTTTCAAGGATATGAGGTCTTTTACAGCACTTATTCATAGGGTTCTTGACCAAGAAAGTAAGCATATTTCTCTCTTTTATTTTGACAAATACTTTGAGTCTGTATTTTCCTAGGTCAATTTATGTCAAGCAAGAGACATAAATAATTTAGATCCTATCCTTGAAGAAGTGTAACTTGGGGCATTTGTATATTGCAGTAAAAGAAATAATCAATGAAATAAGGGCTCTAGAGAGTTGTCTGGTCCAACTGGTAGGGAGAATCAGAGGAAGTTTTGTGGGGTAGATCTTTCAATAAAGGTTTGAAGGATGCATAGGATTTAATAGGTATGGGTAAGGAAATAGCATGCATTTGGGTAGACCTGCTAGCTGTACTGTTGAGACAAGTGGCCCTGAAGTGTAGGGAGTGGAATGAAGATGGACAGGTATCCTGAGCCACACACGGCCTTAAATAACTTGCTAACATAGTTGGATTTTAGCTTATTAAACAGTACAAGGAGGTGCTAATAAAGGTTACGTTTCACTTCCTGTTAGCTGGATAACTTAAGTTATTTAACCCTTCAGACTTTGAGTTTTCTCATCTGTAAAACTGGAACAACACAACTACTTTGCTAGATTGTTTTAGGCAATAAAGAGACCATGGATATGAACTGCTTAGTGGATATTTCAAAATGATAATTCCTATTCCCAGTGGTTAATTTAAGAATGAACTTCTTGCAGAAGAAGAAACTGAGATATACGTACTTTACATTATTGGAACACCAAATCTAAGGTTCAGGCATAGACATCCCCCAAAATGTCAAGTATAGCCATGTATTTTATTGCTAAGGAGGGTAGATCTACTGTATGAATCTATCACAATTTTTTATCCATTCATCTCTTGGTAGACATTTGGTTCCTTCCACTTTTCTCTGTGATAAATAAAACAGTGATTATTCATGTATAAATCTTTGTAGGGATACAAAGATGCGTTCATTTTTCTTGGGTAAATACCTATAAGTGGAATGACTAGTCTCTATGCTAGTCACATGGCTGATTTCTTAGAGACTGCCAAGCCATTTTCCAAAAAGTGGTTGTACCATGTTATGTACTCACGAACAATGAAGGAGAGTTCCAATTACTGCACAACCTTAGCACACTTGGTATGGCCACTTGTCATAATTCACATATTCTAATAGATGTATTATGTAATCTCTTTGTTATTTTGCTTTCTCCAGTGATTAATAATATTGAGCATATTTTCATGTGGCCAAAGAAACCTAAGAAAAGGCCTCTGTGTTTATTACTAAGTTATGGCATGTATCTCTTGAAGCACTATTCTGTTGTCTTCACTTGGTAATTTCAGAGTTCCTTGAGACAAGGACTATGCCCTATTTTTCTCTAATTTCCTAGCATCATATATGGCTTAGCAATAAAGGTTGAACGTAAAGTTGAATAAATAAATGAAACAAGCAAGCAAGCAAGAAATCTTGTACATATGGAACATATGTTTATATTTCCCAAAGAGAGGTTTGTTTGTTTGTTTTAAATAAAAGATTGGATATATCGCTTTAGTTTCGTATTTGGGTAATCAATTGTTCTGGCATATTAAAACAACCACAACAGAAATTCCCTGAAAACGATTCCTAATAATAGGAGCTCCAATTTCTTTTGAATTTTTTTTGGTTTTATTACAGTTACTAAACTGATGCATGGAGGAAGTTCAAAGTCAGTTAATTGTAGGGACTCTCCCTCATGCTGATGGATTTAGGAAACAAGCACTGATTAGATTAGCTTCTGATTATATTTACTGAAAAACATGAAAGGTTAGCATGTACAGTTCTATGGTTCTTTCTGACTCCAGAGTATTAATTTGTTTCATTTCAGAAAACTTAGTGATTGGTATTATACTATAGTAGTTGGCACAACACTGCCACCTATGGAACAATAGTAAAATTTGTTATAATGTTATAATACATGGATTTTTATATAATGCTATTGAAAAAATGTAGAAAACTTGCTTTCTAACAAATTCTTTGATGCATTTTTGGTAGCTCAATAATTATATCCCAAATTTATCTTTTATAAAAATCTAAATTGGATTTGCCAAAAAAAAAAAAGACATGTATATGGAAGATGTGGATTAAAACATCTTATTAAACTTTGTTTCCTTATTGGAAGGAGTAAGAGGGTCTTGACAATTGAGGATAATGAAATCAAAACATTTTAAACCGGAAGATAACTATAGCATTATCCAGGTTAACATCCTAAGCAACTAATTCAATATTGGCTCTCATGCAGGGTGAAACTGCCAGTTGAAGCCAGTAAAGGCATGGTATAATGGAAAGAAAACAGACTGGGGTTAGGAGAACTTGGGTTTCTATTTCAAACTAAACTATTAATTTAACTGAAGATGGGATAAGTCCCTTGATGTCTTTACATGGTGATTGTCTCATATAAAAGCAGTAGCCTTCAGACTTTTTAATAGCATACTATTATCAATTAAAATATGAACAACAGCTCTCTATATAACTTTTTAGATGGGCTTGTAATTTAAATACATTAATCATTATGATTAATATCTCAAGGTATAGTATACACTATAGAACCGAACCACACAGCAGGGAGGTTCAGGAGCATAAATTGAGCCTAGTGGTGGGTTTGTTTGCAGCTGGCTGGCCATGTGCCCTTTCTACCTTCTTTCTCAGCAGTAAAATACCATAATAAGTATTCTGTACTTCACAAGGTTATTATATGGATTCACCATTAATATGTTAACTGTGCATTTAGAACAATGTCTAGAATAGCTTGTACTCTGAAGTATATTTTTTCGTTGTTAGTTATTGTCATTTAGATTACATTTGAGAAGTCTTTGTGATTGTTAGAGAAATTTACCTGACCTCTCATCACATCTGATAAGCCAACCATTGCCCTAAAGACAATTTCACCAATAAAACTGCAGATGTGAACAAAATAAAAATCTTCCTCATTTGTGCTAAGAAGTTCCAAAAGCACAAGTGTCAAGCTATTAGTTTCTGAGTCTGTCTTGCTTGCATTTTCATCATACTCAATCAGTAGTGTCTCTGCAGCAGTCTTTTAGTCATAGACCATTTTTCATTCCACATGTCTTGATTAAAAGAAAGTGATTTTACATACCATTAACTAGACATTTTGGAGACCACTCATTTAAAAACCTACTCATTTCCATGGGTGTATTGTTAAAGATTTAAAAAATTTACAGGTGACACAACACTTTAAACTCAGAAGTGCTTTTGTAATTGCAAGGAAGCTGGCAAAAATGATCTATGACTCTTGGAGATTGGTTGGGTGAAGAAACTAGTCTCTACAGGGGTAGCTTGTATTTTTTTTTTTTTTTTTTTTAAAGATTGATTTATTGGGTCTCCCCTGGTGGCACAGCAGTTGAGCGCTGGGGCTGCGAGGCTGCCCGCAGCCTCTGCAGCGCCGGTTCGTTCCCTGGCCTCTGGCGACGGTCCCACACACAAAAAAATAAATTATTTATTTATTTGTACAAGTGCTGGGTACAGTCAGAAGCGCGGGAGGGTGAGAGAATTCACCAGAGCCAGAGCGGGAAGCAGAACAGGCAGACTGACAAAATCCACTGCTGAGGGGAGCAGTGGGTGCGGCAGGAGAGGTCTGGGCGCATGTGGGACCCTCGCCGTCGGCCTGGGATTGAACTGGCGCTGCAGAGGCTGCGGACAGCTTCGCAGCCCAGCGCTCAACCACTGTGCCACAGGGGAGGCCCAGTAGCTTGTATTTTAAGCACTGTTAACTCACAAAACAGAATGTATATTTAATGTGTAAAAGTAAGCTGAAAAGAGAAGGTGTGTTATTTCTTCCTTTTTTAAAACAAGCTCTTTGAAGTAGGTCCATATCTGATACTCTGTCTCTCCTTTCTATGATACAGTTTTCATTTAGTGGAAATTACAGAAATATTGAATAATGATTTTTACTAAAGATTTTAACTTATAATTTGATATAAATATATACTGTATATTTCTGTGAAATAGATATTTATGCATATATAGCTTCTTGCCTTAAGAACTCTTTATATAATTATTAGATACTTTATAATAACCCCATTTTGGGTACCTAAACCTAATTTTTTCAGTCTGTCAGATGATCTGCTGAATACAGAAATACAATGGACATTGTTTCATGTTTTTTATATATTTTGTCTCAAATAGTTTCATTCATCCTCTTGAAACATCAGTATAAAAATGGTATTTCCTGGAGCTTTCAAAAGTACAATAATAAATGAGGCATAATTAAGCTTACACGTTATTACTATATAAATTAAGGCAATTCTTTTTAGGGTGATCAGTATTATTCATTATTTATTTTGTAAGACTTTATAAAATATGTTTATTTTCTCCCTAGGTGGTTGGTTTTAGCTATTGCCATGGTACGCTTTTATATGGAAAAAGGAACACACAAAGGTGTATATAAACATATTCAGAAGACGCTTAAATTTTTCCAGACATTTGCCTTGCTTGAGGTAAGTTTACAATGATACTGTTTTTTTTTTTGTTGTTGTTGTAATATTTACTTGAAAGTTTACTTGTTGACCAAAGTCTGTTGCTGATTATATATCATGTATAGATTTATTGATACCAATATTGACAGGGATTTTATTGATCTGTAAATTTTGTTTGTTTTTGTTTACAGATAGTCCACTGTTTAATTGGTGAGTTTCTACTTAATTTTTATTTTTAGTATAAATTGTCTTTAGGACAGTGGCTGACTGGTTTTTCTCTTAAAGGAATTGTACCTACGTCTGTGCTTGTGACTGGGGTCCAAGTGAGTTCCAGAATCTTTATGGTGTGGCTCATTACTCACAGTATAAAACCAGTAAGTGGCATGAACTTGTTCTCTACTTTAACCTGCAGGAACAGTTCCATATTAATTGGAAACGAAACTATTAACACTGATATATTTCAGGAAGCAGAACCGCTGAGCACTGATAGAATGCTTTAACAGCGTGACTTTGAAACACAAGCAAATGTTGGCATTTTTTATTCATAGTGTACTCTTCTATAATGTTTTCCTATTTTCAAAATTAAACATTCATATTCTATCAAATAGTTAACTAAAAGTTTTCTATTGAAATTATACATTCTCTTTGATTATATAAATTGAAGTTGTCAGTATTAACAGTTTTTCCTCATCATTGAGTGGCAACAGCCATAAAAAACAGCATCATTGTTAGCAACAGCCATAAGAAAAAGACTAAAAGTTAGAAGGGTTAAAGAACTTAGGGAAAAATAAGCATTTTTATTTATTGAGGCATGGCAGGAGATAGACCTGAATCTAATTAACGACTTAACCTCTTGCAGACAAATAAATGCCATGCTTACAATGACAGGATGGGGCCTTTTATTTTTTTAAAATTTTATTTTTTTTAAGATTGATTTATTTATTTATACAAGCACTGGGTACAGTCAGAAGTGCGGGAGGGTGATAGGATTCACCAGAGCCAGAGCGGGGAGCAGAACAGGCAGATGAAATACACTGCTGAGGGGAGCAGCGGGCGGCAGGAGAGGTCTGCTCACCATGTGGGACCCTCGCCCTGCGGCCAGGGATCCCCAGCGCTCAACTGCTGCACCACCTTGAAGGCCCAGGATGGGGCCTTTTAAACCCTTGACAGAACATTCCCTAGAAGGGCCCCCCTGACCTTGACAACCGCTGGTGGCTTTGTCCACTTGAGGACAGATGTCTGGCCTCCTTTCCATTTCTCAGATGTCTTTTTCCTACTCCTCAGAGTTCTGCTTTCCATTCTCAGTGGTCTCCTTCCTACTCTGCACTTGAGTCCTCTTAACTGGTATCTTCTGTTCAGCTTAGTCCACCTGGTGCCTAACCAGTGACTGCTCTCCAGATAGCAGTGAGCACAAGCCGAACATTTTAGTCAGTTGAAAATAGTTGAAAAGAAGGGGTCCAGCAAATAGAATAAAAGAGCAACTATTCCAGACAGTGAATGAATCTGATAGGTGGACGAAGGCCTCCAAGACTGAAGAGTGAGGCACAAGAAAGACAAAGGAACACTGGCCAACATTAACTGAAGAAAAGTTAATGAGAAGCCAGAGTGGCTAGTCCTCAAGGGAGCAGAGAACCCAAGGTGCTAGGATCTGTTATTAGTAAGACAAATATGGTTCTTGTGGAGCCTACAGTAGGAGAGAGATTAAATAGGCAGTTACGCAAATAATTATTTCATTGTATTAATGCTAATGCTTTGAAAAACGGAACCCAATCTTCATTGCAGTGCAGGGACTTAGCTTGCCGTAGGGAATGAAGGAATGTTTATATTGTACAGTGATAGATAACCCAAGGTTGGCCAGATGGATTTTAATGTAGATTGGCAAATGTTACAGGTATGAACAAAGTGCTGTAAGAACAAGGAAGGTGAACCAGTAACTGCTCAGGGTGAGAGGAAGGGTTTTGGAAAAGTTTTGCAGAGGGCATGATATTTTAAGTGCATATTAAAAGATGAGAAAGAGTTTGGGAAATTAGAAGGGGCTAGCTTCTAATTGGAAAGATGAGCATGTATAAAGACACATGTTCAGAATATTTTCTGGATATAATATAGTTTAGTATTGCCAGAATAGGTGGGGTATTGAGTTATTGTGGATAAAGTTCAAGAGATTTCTGAGCTCATATTACAAAGCAGGTTGACTTTCATATTCAGGTAGTAGGATTTTATCCTTTTCTCCTGGTTAGCCACAAGGAACCAGTGAAGCTTTTAAATCACAGGAGTAGCCATTTCAACTTGGGTTTTGTCTGCTTGCTTTTTTGTTTTGCTTTTAAGGGAAAATTTCCGTCCAGGAAGAGAAGAAAGAGAAGAAAGGCTATTTGGGAGGCTCTTACAGTAGTCTGGAAGCAAGATAAGAAGGCCTGAATTAAAATAGCAGTTTCAGGACCAAAGACAAGTGGGCTGACTCAAGAGTTAGTGCCACAGTAGGATGGGTGTGATTTGATAATGAATAGAAAGTGGAAAGGTCATATTGTTCCCCTCCTTGTGTCGAGGGATTAATGCTGCCCTGAGCTGGTTGAGTTATTGGCTTAAGTAAAGGGTGTGAGAGAGAGATAAGTAAATATTTGATCATTTCTGCGCATAGGACATATTTAAATTGTGTGTTTTGGATGAATTATATAATGGTGATTGCATAAAATTTTCTGGCTTGCATTTGTCTAACTCAGACATTCCAACTACAATAAAAAACAAGATAAATCATTAAAATATCTTTGTGGGAAAAATGAGTTCTGGGTTGAACGACACTGTGGATTTCTCTGTAATCCTGCAGATCCAGAATGAAGAGAGTGTGGTGCTTTTTCTGGTCGCGTGGACTGTGACAGAGATCACTCGCTATTCCTTCTACACATTCAGTCTTCTCGACCACTTGCCATACTTCATTAAATGGGCCAGGTGGCGATGTCTTGCAGTTTAGTTTCTCACAGTCCTGTGCGTGCATGTTTTCTGTGCTGAGCTAACACCAGCAAATTAAAATTTGTGTCTTAGCCCCACAGCGTCAGGATATTATTGTTTTGAATATTAGCAGCATTCTAACTTGTGGTCTGAAGCTTTAATTCAGTGATCAGAGGGGAATCATAATATATATATATGCACAGTGAAATCAATGCAAAATGAATGAAAATGTATCCTGAGTAAAACAGAGAAATATATTTAGATATAGGTCTTTAACTCAATGCTGTACAATATTTCATACATGGCTGAATTAGTTCTTTTTTGCTAGGATTTAGATTATTTCTAGTCTCTACTATTATAAATACTGCCTTGAGATCTTATCAGCAATTTTTTAACCATATTTTTGTTTTTTACAACTTTGATGTTTATGTTGATTCATTCCTAAATTATTTTAGGATAATCTTTAAATAGCATCAGATACCCCCATGTTAAAAACCTGACTCTTTCTCTGAAGTTTTTATAACTCGTGGATTAATATGTGTTCTAACATAAAATAGAATGTATAAATACAATACAAAGGAGGCAAGTACCTTTAAAGTTGCTTTTAATCCCTCTACACAAGGATATTCAATTGTGATCTGTATTCTTTCAGGCTTTTCAAAAATTTTTCACTTCTTTTTAGACATTTGTGGTTTAAAAATTTTGCATATAATAAAATTATTTGAAGTTTCAATTTGAACATATTGTCTGTCATAAGAAGTTTGCAGGACCACTTATGTATGGTTGGGTGGTTTTATTATACCAGAAAACTTACTTACTCTGTGTGGTTGGGCCTTTTCCACGGTTGTTAGTGTGGAATGTGATTGGACTCTAATCCTAGAATGATTATCAAGCCACATTGCATGACCTCTGCCATCTGGATCTCTAGCACCTTAAAAATGCTAATTCATGACATGTTCTTTTTAGAGTTGCTGTATTTATAAAATTTGTTTGCAGAAAGAAATAATCTTTAATGCTTTATCTGCCTGCCTTTTGGAAATAATTTGCATGTCTTAAGTTTCTGGAAAAGTTCAAAAATCTGCCATTGCATGTTTAAATTTACTATTTATTTGTCAATTGCATTAAAGTTGAATAAAGTATTATAAAATCTTTCAAATATTAAATACATATTTTCACATACTATATCACATCAGTTAATTATAATCATGAATAATCATATTTCATGTCATCCCAACCATCTGTATACATTTGCCCAGCCCATTAAAAAAAACTAAAATATTATTTGTATTTAGTTCAAATGTTGAAGTTGTTATCAAATATAAAACTGTACTTGAAAAATGACTTCTTATGTATAAATAACCTATTGTAATGGTTTGAATGTACTTTGATTCTGTGTTAGAAGTGTTCCCAGTTCCACAGAATAGGTAGTTGTATATTGTTATGTTTTTATATTGATTTCTATTTTCATTTCAAGAAATGCATTCCTTTAACAATTTTTTTTTTAGGTGGCAAGTAGGCGTCTTCAAGGAAGCATTATATCTCTTTATGAAAGGGTAGTTAAGTCTCCCATTCTGGCCTCAAAATTTAGAGAGTTTGTGACATGCACTCTTTTAAAGTGCCAACAGAGTCAAATACATTAAGTAATTTGTTCCCATTTCATTAAACATTTTTCACTGCATTTAAATGTCTTATTCTAGGAGTGACATTTTTCCTATTACAAAACAGTGATTCTCACCCCCTCAATCATCTCAGAGTCACATAAAGTTGAGATAACTTATAGACCAAGTTACCAAAATAGCTTACGTAATTTTGAATGTTTTATTTGAGAAGGAAATATATAATGTTCAACTGTATAATTTTAAATTGAGATAGGAAAATATTAATTTGAATGACATTCAAATAGCTACACAATAGTGATATGAAAGGAGGGTATATAGCCAAGGCCAGAAGGGAATAAACAAGGATAGTGAAGGATCATTCCTCTTTCTTTACCATTTAATCTGTCTTGGCAAAGAATTCTGCCCCTCTTCCCCATCTCTTATCCTTGTATATCCATGGTATATAAGGAATAAGGTGATTTTGTAGTTGTCTCCAACTCTGCCATACTGACAAATGTGACTTTTCTTTACAAAAATTCTCAATGCCAACAAAGTGAGTACAATATGACTAGTTTGATTTCTTTCTTTTTGCAAAATTTTAGCCTTAATTTTCTGTGGTTACTTTTATGTAGTGACTTGCCTTGGAGGAAAATTATTTAATGGAGAAATGTCATTGCCTTGGGTCCTTGAGGCTGTTCTGCCCGAATCCACCAGATACTTGAGACTGTTCCTGTAACTGTAGGTGTAAATGATATCCTACCTACTCTATGGTTGCAATTCCCACAATCCAAATGAACACTTTGTGATTTTGGATTTTGAATAGAGCTTTCTCAGCTCTATTTTAAGCATGCTAACTCTTCCTTTAATGTGGGAGTTCAGGAAACAACTTGTCTTGTTTTACAATGAAAGCAGTTTTAGACAATACAATATACCATTAGTAGCTACTGATGTGTCAGGTAGTATTATCAGTTTTCCACAATAGTAAATCTCTTTTAGTTAGCAGTCACAAATAGTTCCCCACCATGCCCCGCCCAAAGAACTACTCTGGTAATTTTAAGATTAAGATATAAAATTAGGATCATAATTGGTCTTTTAGAAAACAGCATTCGATCAGTAAATCAATAGCTACGGGGGGGGGGGGGGGGAAACATCAATTATTTCTATGTTTGAAAGAAATTACCTTTATAATACTTTACAATCTTTACATATACTATATAATTGCTACTTGAGAATATTTACACTTACATATCTTCTAATACATTGAAAACTACATATATACTTCGAGATATATGAATTTATTTCATTACTAAAATGTCAGTTTACTTATTTTATTAAGATGGTGTTGCTGTTTAAAATCAGAACTGCTTCAAGAAAAAGGATGATAATCAAATCAATAAACAAATGATTTAAGTAGAAAAAAATAACCTCAAGTGAGGTTTTTATAAATATGTATAGAAAGGAGAATTTTTGAGTTTAAATGCAAGAATAGCAAAAGAACTATGATAAAATCCATTAATTTTTCTAGAAAAATAATTCTCTAAGGTTTCTCTTTCTCCAGATATAACTTTTTTATCATCTTATATCCTGTCGGAGTTGCTGGTGAACTTCTCACAATATATGCTGCCTTACCATATGTGAAGAAAACAGGAATGTTTTCAGTACGACTTCCTAACAAATACAACGTCTCTTTTGACTACTACTATTTTCTTCTTCTAACCATGGCCTCATATATACCATGTAAGTATATATTTATTAATATTTTGATATAGCATATTATAGGAAAGTTTGGGAAAAGATATCATAATATGTTTAATAAGCAAGGGACATAGTGGCTTACAAATACATCAAAACCTCACTTTGATCACCGATTCATTTGTAATTTGAAGTAATTGAGGAGTGGGTCAAAAAAGACTATTTCCTAATTATGAGAAAAAAGTAAATCTATGCAAATGATTGCATTTTTAAACTTATTTTAAAAGGTTAGTATGATTTTATTTTTTTTAAAGGAAAAATAAAGCATGTGTCAGTGAACTGTCTGCAAACATTTAGGCTTATGAGTCCAAATAAAAGTACTTTATCCAAGAAACTTGCAGGTCTTTTCTATGTATTTGTTAAGCATATACTTAAGAAGAATCATCAAAGAGTACTTTTTTGTCATATTTGTGTTGTTGTGTGTACCTGAAAATAATGAGCCCTCTTAAAATATTTTGAGTAATTCTTCACTGCTGCTAATTTTCTTCATTAATTTCTCATCAATTTTCAACAGTTGCAGTAAATTAGTGAGGCTTTAATTGCTTCATTTAAATACTAATGGTATATTTTTAGGTCAAATTTTGATAGTCACTAGCAGGAAATAGGAAGGTAAAGTTAAGACTATTTTATTTTTACCCTTCTCAGTAAAATTAAAGACTGAGGTACATTGGGAAAAAGGGAAATGAAAAGTTTATAGAATCTAAAAATCCACACTGACACAAAATACCTGAAGGAGGTGAGCATATAATTAAGCCAACCCTTGAGGCCTCAAAATTTTAGCTTCTCCAAAGTTAAAATCGACTTGATGGTCATGCAGTGTTTTTCCCCTCATCTTCTACTATTGCAGTCTGACTCTCATCACTACACGCAGCCAGTACAAGAACGCTGAGAAGCCCTCTGCAAGGCTCCTGGACAGCCCCAGCTTTCCTGATATCTCGTGAGCAGCACCAGGCCTTAAGCAGGGCCAGAGCTTGCTGCTTTGTCAGTCAGATCAGTTACTGGCCTAGGTATCAGGTTCCCTTCTTCCTCTGAGATGACAAATGAATCTATGGTCTATTTCTATGGAAACCCAATAGCTTTTCAGCTCACCATGCTGGAAATTATTGAAAAATGCCACTTGCTGGCAGACAGAAAAGGAGATATTTACCACTTGATTAATATTAGTAGTAATAACCAATTTTACTTAACTAATTAAAACTACTGAAGGTACTTTGGGAGAGTATCTTTAATAGTCCAAGGATTATTTATCAGTGAAGACATTATAGATTAGAGAGGCTAAGTGAATTGCTAAAATAATCACCCAGCTAAGTATATGAGGCCAGAATTTGAATGCTCAAAATGATGTAGAAGTATCTGCTATAATTAATCAGTTTTAATTTCGTATTTGACATATATTTAGTCCATAGGTATAACATGATGGTTACTTTTATCAATATAAGTAGCACCTACATTAACAAGATAAAATCTGTTGTGCATTTTCATTCTGTTTGAGCTAAGTTCTAAAAAAATTACACAAAGTTGCCTGAACAGATATTCAGAGCTTATTTTGTCATTAGCTTCATTGGTTTGGTTATCCTGTTCTTTTTCAGAGATATTTTACATTTATATTGTTTATAGCTCATGTTTTGTTCATCCACAATATTGACACTATAATTGAAAGCACTGGTTCGCATTGGCTCAGCTAAGTCTCCAAATTTGACAGGACAAATAACTGTTTTAATACATAGAACATTTCTTTCTGTTATAGCAGATTACCCTTAAACCCAACCAAGAGGGGCTTCTGCACTGGGTCCTGTTTTAGAGGGTCCTGTTCTGGCATTTCACTGACCATGCCTCCACACAGACTCCCCCAAATTCCTCTTCTTGGTCACATTGTGGAAACCTGCAGCCAGTGACTTGTACCACCCAAATAGTACAGAGTGTGCATGTAGGGACTGCTTAGGCCTCTTCCCTAATCTATTCTCATGTTACCAATAGTCACACTATTGAGATCAAGGGGTGGCCAAGGAACAGCTGTTTGTGAGGGTATGGGTAAAGCATGGATGTGTGGCCTGTGATGTCTACACGTGTGTTGATGGGACCCCTCATGGTATAGACAGAGCCCATGGAATGGAGAGAAGGGACAGAGGGACAGCTTTACTGGAGCTGGAACCTTCTGGCACATGATTCCAAAGAATTACAGAAGTCTGAATTCAGACATAGCCTTCCAGGTCATTATAACAGTATATTAAGATATGTAAGTTTGTTTAAAAAAATCCTCCAAGTTTATGGCATAAAAATATTTAGCAGGCTTCCATTTGTAATTTTACCTCAAGCTCTGTAAATATTGAGGGGTGGCAGTGGTATATGATGTGCTTATTCTCAACGTTTGCCATATTTAGTAGTTTTTAAGTATAAATCATTTTAAACACTCACTTATCTTCTTTTCTTTTTTTCAATTAAGTGTTTCCACAACTCTATTTTCACATGTTACGTCAAAGAAGAAAGGTGCTTCATGGAGAGGTGATTGTAGAAAAGGATGATTAGATGATCTCTACAAACAAGGTGCTTTTTCCAGAATAACCAGGATTACTTGAGTCCAAGTTTTAATAACAAGAATAAACAACTTTATGAAATATTATGGATTGTATTATTTTTTAAAATACAACTTGAGATGAGGTATTTGCCAGTATTTGTCTTCCCATTGCACTAGGTTCATAATTTACAAGAACTATACAAATATTATCAACTACAGGGTAGGTGATGATATTAGCAAAGTAATTACCTGGCAAAAAAAGTTTTCGTTAGTTTTATTAAATATTTTTTGCAACTATGCTCAAAACATTTAAAATCAATACTTAGGGCCTCCCTGGTGGCGCAGCGGTTGAGCGCTGGGTTGCGAAGCTGCCCGCAGCCTCTGCAGCACCAGTTCAATCCCCGGCTGCTCCCTGGCCACCAAAGGAGGGTCCCACATGGCGCGCAGACCTCTCCTGCCGCCCACTGCTCCCCTCAGCAGTGTACTTCGGTCCTTCTGCCTGCTCTGCTCCCCGCTCTGGTGAATTCTCTCACCTTCCCGCACTTCTGACTGTACCCAGTGCTTGTATGTATAAACTCTTTAAAAAAAAAAAAATAAGATATTAGTTTAATGATTTAACATTATGATACCTGCCAGTGATATTTATGTGCTCTTTATAAGTGAAAGTAAATGCAAAATTATAATGATTTGTTAATAACATTGGCATTTCTTGAACTCAAGATCTACTTCTTTCAAATTACATGGTAGTATTTTTGATTAATAACAATTTTTGGAAGTATGAATATGATTTAATATGGTAAGATATTTGACAGAAAATATCCACATAACATAAAATTACTCAAGTGGATGTTATAATTGGGAAAATATTCTTTGAAAATACACCTAGACCATTGGAAATACTTATATCACCAAACAAATTTTATTTTTATTTGAAGTAATTACTCAAGGACAGGTTTTTCTACTCTAAGAATTTTAAGGGTTAAAAGAATATAATTATATATTTTTCCTCACTTGTTCAAAAATAACATTGAATCTGATCATAATGTTATACCCAAAACTCCAGCTGATAAAGGCTACTCTAAATTGTGTAATCATTTAACAAAATCTTATTATAAAAATCCCTTTGTTGTACTTAGGTAATAAAATGATACTGTCACTACAGATCATGTAGTCTTCATTTCACTGAATAGCAAAAAAATTATGTACTAAAATTCCTGTCCACATGTTTAATACATAGCTGAAGATACTTTTAAGTCTTTTATTTATTTATTTATTTATTTTTAAATAATAAATTTTATTTTTATATTCCCCATACAATTGCAACCCCCCCATTCTGATCCCAATCCCTCCCTCCCGCCCCTCACCCCCCAAAAAGTGTCTCTGGTTCATAGTTTTTTGTTGATTTTGATTTTCGCTTTCTTATAGTTATTCATTTTTCTGGTCCCTTTACTATGCTATACTGCATTACTCATTTTATTTTATTTTGTTTTTTATTTTATTTTATTTTTTAAAGATTCATTCATTCATTCATTCTTTATTTATTTATTTATTTATTTATTTATACATACAAGCACTGGGTACAGTCAGAAGCGCGGGAGGGTGAGAGAATTCACCAGAGCCAGAGCAGGGAACACAGCAGGCAGAAGGACCAAAGTACGCTGCTGAGGGGAGCAGCGGGCGGCAGGAGAGGTCTGCGCGCCATGTGGGACCCTCCTCCGGTAGCCGGGGAGCAGCCGGGGATTGAACAGGCGCTGCAGAGGCTGCGGGCAGCTTCGCAACCCAGCGCTCAACCGCTGCGCCACCAGGGAGGCCCACATTACTCATTTTAAAGAAATACTAAATATATGACTTTTAAAGAAAAAGAACTTATTGCCTACTATAGATATGTAGGTATAATTTTGGCCTTGAATGTTTTGTGTTACTTGCATTTACCATCAACATGTAACATTACAGTTTTTAAAATTGCTTGTGTTATGTTAGTTAACCAACTCTTTTTCAGATATTTTCTTGTGGAGCTTTGTGGTTCAGAATAGTTCCACAAATTTTCACTTTAGAAAAACTGATATTTAAAAATGGAGCTCTTTCTTTTATTACTTTTTAATATCTCCTATGCTGCTAAATATTCTGAGAAGCAATATTATTGTCTTAGGTTACTAATTCTCAAAATGCCAGTGTTCATTCTGTGTTTACACTGCTTGATTCATTTTCATCTTGAATTTTTATATGGAAGAATTTTTCCGAGTTTTTTCCCCTTATAACATGGAAGTTCACATCTTATTTTGTTAATTTCTGTCTTGTAGAATATAGTTTAGATCATATTCCTAAAATTTTCATTCAATTATTATTTTTTTAAATTTTGGGGTTACATTTTTGCCCTTCCATATATACACATTTCTCCTACCTTCTACCAAACCACCCATGCCAAATACTTCCTTTCCCCTTCACTCACTCCTTCCCTCCCTCTCTCCCTTACTCCATTCATTCTGGTAATCTTTAAATTATTTTACTAAATCCAAGATTTAGTCCTGCTGTGTTTTGTCTGTATTTTGTTTGTTTGTTAGTTATATTCCACACATGAGTAAAACCATCTGATATCCCTCAAAATTATAACTTCTTAAAAACAACATAAAAGTTATTTTCACTAAAGGATTTTGTTTCATAATGTCTGTAGATTCTCAGCAGCATTATTTTTGCATCTTTGGATTTGTAAGCATCCATTATGTCACTCTCTCATAGTTTCTGATGATACCCTGAAAGGGAGGTGCAATTATGCAGTAATCCCTTTCCCTCTGCAAATATTTATGCCTAATCCATGCCAAGTATTGAAATAGGGAATTAACATCTCTCTACTACACTTCTTTCCATCCTATACAACAAAGACCTGAGACAATTAGGTTAGATGGGTTGGAAAACTGCAATGCAAAACAATGATATGGGCTTTAACAATTTATGGTGCAACTGGTAATGTGATGTGGCAGGGTTCTGTTTTACTTAATGCAAGCATATCAGAGTAGCACTAAATAGATGACATTCTGGTTCAAAACTACTTTTAAATAAACTAAAAATTACAGAAATTAAATTGAAACATTAAAGCAGGAAAAAGGAATAGAAACAACTTTAAACAGTTTTTTTCCCCCAAATGTAGCCATGGAATATACATATAATTAACATAAAATAAGAACAACAGTTTTGTAGCTTTGAGTATGAGGGCATTTAAATAGAATTGAAAATTCAGTTCATATTTTTAGTCTAAATTTATGAAACATCTTAATTCCTTCATAAATCTGAAGCTTAAAACATATTCAAAGTTCTGACTTCTAGTGAACTCGAACAGATTTTACACTGCAGTGAAGTCAAAAGGTCGTTGTCAAATCATAAATTGGAGGACTGTGTGTGTATGTTCTGGATCAAGATCCAGTCCAGGGGCCTCCCCGGTGGCGCAGCGGTTGAGCGCTGGGTTGCGAAGCTGCCCGCAGCCTCTGCAGTTCGGGTTCGATCCCCGGCTGCTCCCCGGCCACCAGAGGAGGGTCCCACATGGCGCGCAGACTTCTCCTGCCGCCCGCTGCTCCCCTCAGCAGTGTACTTGGGTCCTTCTGCCTGCTCTGTTCCCCGCTCTGGCTCTGGTGAATTCTCTCACCCTCCCGCGCTTCTGACTGTACCCAGTGCTTGTATAAATAAATAAAAACAAATCTTTAAAATAAATAAATAAAAATAAAGAGTAGTAGTTGACATTAAAAAAAAAAAAAAAAGATCCAGTCCAGGTTCAGACACTACATTTAGCTGTCATCTCAGTCTGGAGCAGATCCTGGGTTTTGCTTCATGTTTCATGATTTACATTCAAAAGCACTGGACAGTTGCTGTATAGAAAACCCCCTATTTTGGGTTGTTTGACGTTTCCTCATTATCAGGTTTAATTTATACACTCTTGGCGAAGAAAACTGATATGTTCCATTTACTGGTGGTAATAACTTTGTTGAGTTAGGGTTTTGTTTTTTAACAACATAAGTATTTTACTAATAGAAGGCCTTTTATAATTCATTACAGTCTGCCTTTGAAATGAGACACTGAGATTTTTTTAAACATAGTAATATGCCAGTGTTCCACTACATGAAAAGTGATCTTTTTAAAAAATAGTTATAAAGGACTAAATTCGTTTTTTTTCCCCTAAAAATTTATTTATTTATTTATTTATTTATACGAGCACTGCTGGAGGGTGAGAGAATTCACCAGAGCCAGAGCGGGGAGCAGAACAGGTAGACTGATGAAATACACTGCTGAGGGAAGCAGCAGGCCAGACAGGAGAGGTCTGTAGCGCCATGTGGGACCCTTGCCACCGGCCGGGATTGAACCGGTGCTGCAGAGGCTGTGGGCAGCTTCATAGTCCAGCGCTCAACCACTGTGCCACCAGGGGAGGCCCAGGACTAAATTCTTTCTATGCATGTTATTTCCAATCATATTATTAGCTTACCTGTATATTTTTTATAAAAAAAACTTGAATAGTTAATGTACTTTGGTTTTGCTTAAAAATTTTTAACTGTAATATTCTGTTATGCTATTATATATTCTTACCAGGTAATTCTGCTTTAGTAAACTAATATATAATACAAATGAAATAAAATACTGCAAACTAATTTCATTCCTTGATTTATGACTGCCATATCCTTATATCTTTAAATGCAATGTGTACAAATAGAAAATTAAAAATTATCCCTAAATCCACTTAACATTTTGTGGTTTATTTTGAGAATGGCTAAAGAAGTATGGTTTTCAGACTACAGCTTTTATGAATCATCTGGGAATCCCGGAGTCCTCTAGAGATTTTTGCATTAATGATTGTGGAGCTGAGAAATCCACATTTGTAGCAAGGTGCTGGTAGTTCTGATGTAGGTAGTTTCACCACCCTTTGAGAACACTACAATGAGAAATATCAGGGTGGAGAAAGATGACTTCTTACAAGTGTAAATTTTTGCTACATATACAATGTACTTAATATGACTAAACAATAGTATGCCTTTAACATTGTTTATTGTTTCTAATAAAAATGAGCACTTTGGCTTTTAAGTTTATAAAAATGCAAACCTTGATATTTACTTAGTATGAAGT